ACCCTGCGGGAGGGGAGGAAGAGGAAGGTGTCAGGGGCATCCCCCCACCCCATGCCCAAGCAGCTGCTCCAGAGCAGGGTAGGCATCATCCCAGCGTGGCTGCGGCCACCCCAAGCCACCTACCTTCTCGCCCTCAGGGCCCTGTGCGCCACGGTCCCCCTGTGGAGTGAAGTAGAGGAGGGTTTCAGGGAGCCTTCCTCTCTCCACGCCACACCACCCCTGCCTCACTCACTGCCCCAGAGTCCTTCAGGACCCAGTCTTGAATCCCATCTGAGATCACTGGGCTCTGACCGTGACCCCCAGGCACAGAGACCCCAGGGCCACAGGGACACCAGGACCCGCTAACACTGCCGAACTGCACAGTCCTGCTCTGGAGCCATCTCACCTTCTCGCCCGTCTCTCCCAGCTCGCCTGGCGCCCCACGGTCTCCCTGGTGCAGGAGGAAGATGGAGTCAGGGGCAGCAGAACCCACAGAGGATGGCACGGGTCCTGGTGTGGCACCCAGATCCCTTTTCTCCCCACCGAAGGCAAGGTGACAGCACCCCTTTGGTCCCCGCACCACTCACCTTTCTGCCCTGCTCTCCTGGTGGACCCCGAGGGCCCTGCATAGGAGGACGAAGAAGATGTCACCTCCAGCAAACACCCAGGCTGGCCAGAGTCCAAGCCCTCCAGGGTGCCCTTGGGGCTCAGCTGGACTCCTGCCCACATTACTGTCTCGGGAAACTCACCCGGTCTCCTGGGTCCCCGGGGCGGCCAGGTGGCCCTGGGAAACCTTCTTTGCTGTCGCCCTGGGCATTAGGAAAGGCAACAGCCATGCCCGTGAGATGGGGACACCCATGAGATGGGGACGGGCATCCCTGCTGGAGAGCGCAGCGGGGTCCAGCCCCAGCGTGGAGCATCCCCACTGCCCTCTTACCTTCTCTCCCTTCAGCCCAGGGGGCCCAGCAGGTCCTCGAGGTCCAGGGTCCCCAGGCAGGCCCTGCAAGAGAGCACAGCTCAGCCCCTGGGGATGCAGCTCAGCCCCAGGGACACATGGCCACCGCAGCCCTGCTCCCGTCTGCCATCCCCGTTGGCCTAGGGGCCGAACTCACCGGGGGGCCAGGCTCCCCTCGAGGCGCTGCCCCATCCACAAGTCCGGGGAGGCCCTGCAGAGACAGGGGTCAGCTCCTGTATGATGGCCCCAGTGGGCTCAGGTGCCCCGCAGTGCCCCTTGGGCACCCACGGGACCTCTGTCCAGCAGGGCAGAGGAGCCATGGAAACGCAGAGCCACTCACCCTCTCCCCTCGGTCACCCTTCTCCCCCTGTGAGGACAAAAAAAAGCAGGTAAGGGCAGGTCTGGGCTCTCCACATGCCTGCTGAAGTGGAGGGGGAACATGCTGGACAGAGCCCATTGTCAGTAGTATCAGAGCACGTGCATGCCATGTGCCTCTCCCCACACTGCCCAGTGCCAGTAACAGCTCATGCACATGTATGTGGTGCATGGGTACAGCTGGATGGGGGGCACAGCCTATGAGTGGGACCAGGAGCAGCGCACGAGGGACCAGCTTCAAGCTGCTGCCTGTCCCTCTGCCTGTCTGTCCACACGTCCCCCTAGCTGTTCCCGTGCAGCACCGCGAGGGACATACCTTCACAAACTCTCCTGGAGGTCCTGGTGGCCCCATGGGTCCAAGTGGACCGGGGGGGCCTGGATCACCAAAGGGCCCCTGTGGCCCAGGGGTCCCAGGGGGGCCTGGGCTGCCCTGGGGGACAGAGATGCTCCATTAGCTGAGGCTTTGGCATGGGCCGGGAGTGTTGATGGAGATCCTCTGGCATTGCCACCCTATACGTACCGGTGTGCCTGGCTCCCCTTTGCGGCCCGGCAGCCCCGGTCCTCCATCTGTGATCACCCTGGCCTCACCCTGAACGAGGAGGAGGAGAGAAAATCAGTGTCCCCGTGTGCCCTGTTGTGTGCCACTGCAGGACGTGGTCCATAGTGCCACTGTGAAACCAGGGGCCTGGCAGGGAGACAGGAAGACCCTGGGGGCACCTGGATACCAAGTGCCAGGAGGTGCCAGGGGCTGCAATCACAGAATCACAGAATGTTAGGGATTGGAAGGGACCTCAAAGGATCATTTAGTCCAATCCCCCTGCCGGAGCAGGACCACCTAGATTAGATCACA